CGGCCAGATTTCGGCTAAATTATTCTTGGCAGGACAAAACTTTTGTGAGGCACCTCCGTAGTAGTAGACAGACTAATTAGATAGCCCCTTAACTCTAAGGTAAGAGTTGCGCCAAGAAGAGTTGTGCTAAAGCGCCGAGATTAGCGTCAGACAATACTTTAGAAAGGCACCTCCGTAAATGATTAGCTTATTCAACTAGCGCCGCTCATCACTCGTCTCTCATTCCTCACGGACCTCCAACACCTCTTCTTCAATGCTGCCAACATGATAATCTAGATTGCTGCCACGTTATGCTCATCCCGCGAAACAGCTTGAAATTAAGAATCTGTGGTCTAGGTCTTCCAGTGTAAACAGTCTCGCCACATCTCATCCCCACCACTCTGGCGCTGCTAATAAATGTCTGAGCAGACCTATATTCCTCATCTCGCTCACTTTGATATCCATAAACTATTTGAGCATGAGCACTTCTGAACACTCAGCCGTGGTTGCACCCGTGGACGCAGAAGAAGGCGAGTTCCACTTTGAGTACACGGTGCACAAGGGCGTGTTTATGCAGAGTGAAGACGAGACGGACGATACCAAGTTTGATTTTGTATGCTATTCCTACTTGTCTCTCTCTCTCTCTCTTTCTTTCTTCAGATCCAACCAAAGCAACACATGGACGCTGCTATCATCGAAGCAACATGTTGTTTGTCTCAACTAACGCATGCATTGGCTAACCAATACATTGATGGTGATGATGATTAGAAAAAAACCAACTTCGGACTTATCCCCCGCTCGTATCCGACGGATGCGCACGCCGACGACCAGAGGCAGTGGAAGCGATTGGAAAAGTATGTGCGTAGCTTGGCGGCTACTGCGAGCTGGAATGAGCGTGTAAAGCTGCTTTTTCTCGGCCGCCATGGCCAGGGGTGGCATAATGTGGCGGAGACAAAGTATGGGACGGAAGCTTGGGATGTGCGTGTTTTTCTCTTCTTCTTCTTCTTCCTGAAGAATCTCGTGACCTTCTCTCTCTCTCTCTCTCCCTCTCCCTCTGATATTCCCAGAAGAAAATATTTAAAGGTTTAGGCTAAACTCATGACAGTGCTACTGGTCCGCTCTCGACGGCGCAGACGGCATCACGTGGGCAGACGCACATCTGACGCCCGTCGGCGAAGCCCAAGCCAAAGACGTGCGTGATCTGTGGGCAGCGCAGATTCCGCTTGGGATTCCGCTGCCGGAGAAATACTATGTTTCGCCTTTGACTCGTAGGTTTGACCTTGACATCTATCTCTATTCATCTATTCATCCATCTATCTATCTATCTCCTCCCCTCACACATTCCCTCTACATCCCACATCATACATCTAACGCCCCCGACCCACCTACAAAGGCACCATCCAGACCGCCGACCAAACCTTCTCCTCTCTCCCGCTCCCCGCCACACACGCCTACAAACCCCTGATAAAAGAGCTGCTCCGCGAAGCCCTCGGCATCCACACATGCGACCGCCGCAGCACGCGCTCGCACATCCACACTTCCTTTCCACACGTCGTTTTCGAACCCGGGTTCGCGCAGAACGACCATCTCTGGCTGCCGGATTACAGGGAGCCGCGGTCTGCGCGCAGGTACCGGCTTGCTGTGTTGCTGGATGAGCTGTTTTCGGCAACCGAGGAGGATGGAGAAGGCCGACGGGAAATATTTGTGTCGTTGACGAGCCATTCCGGTGCGATTGGAAGTATATTACAGGTTTTGGGACATCGGGTGAGATATATTTTCCCTATCCATTCATCTATCCATTCATCTACCTATCTACCTATCTGCCTATGTATGTATGTATGTATGTATGTATGTATGTACGTATGTATGTATTAATTGTACAAGATGCCAATCAAGTATACCAGAAGAAAAAAAAACAAAAGAAAAGAAAATGCCAACGTTGGTAGACTTAACATGGCATTCATCTCATTGCCCCCCCCCCCGCCTATCTCCTCCCACCTGCCATCTAACAGAACTTGGCAAGATACTCTATATATACTACATATATATACGTACTTGATTTTTAATCGGCTCTTTTCCCCACTTCCAACAATCACACAGTTAGTCCGTCCGTCCGTCCGTCCTTCCTTTCCTTCTTTCTATACCTTATACTGTTACCCAGTCCATCATTCCTTCCTTTCCTACGCCTCAGTATCAGCAGCAGCAGCAGCAGTATGAGAAGAATAAGTAGGAGGAGGAGGCTCAGGACACAACGGCGGCGCATCACTCGGTTCCTTGGGCGGCACAGCGCGTTTCCCAGATACACGCCGGGCAGATAGCAGCACGGGGATCACGCCGCCTGTTTCGAGGGCAAAGGCCTATATTGCGTCGAGTGCGTTTGTTAGCATTTGGCATTTTGCAGGCATACTTGGGGCCTGCTAGATACATATACATACACCACATGCTCAAGTCAAACAGGAGCAGATTCAAATACCAGGTATGTATTCAGCTACGCTAACGCTAACATTTAACCCAAATCTCGGGTAAAAGACGAGTAAAAGACGAGTAAAAGAGGAGAAAAGAAAGGGGGGGTATCCAGCTCAGAGGAGGATGTTTCTTGTACTCTACGCTACGGTGAGCGACTGTATGATATGAGAGGAGGAAATGTGGGAAAGGAGAAGAAGAAGTGAAGTGAAGAAGAGAAGAGAAGAAGAGAAGTGAAGAAGAAAAGGCAGGAGGAGGAGGAGGAAAGGGAAAAAAGAAAGAAAGAAAGAGTTCCATCGGGACTTGAGATAACAAGGCTTGAGAAGATAAAGAGGAAGAATAAAAAGAAGATAAGAATAACAAGGCTTGAGAAGAAAGATAAGAAGAATGAGAAAAGAAGAAGAAGAACAAGGATAAGAAGAAGTGAAAAAAAAACAGACAGAGGGAAATCCAAATTCTCCCCCGCAATACCCTCATATCTGTCTGTCTGTCCATGGTCATCAACGAAAGCAAAGAAAAGTAAACTTCCACCATTCAAAGCGAAAACACCTCAACTACCCCATCAACATAGACCTCCACTCACACACATGGACACGCTTACCCGTCTCCTTTGCAAGTACGGCGCCAAACCACCTCCAGACATCCAAGCCGCGCAAGCCGCGCTCCAAAGCCTTCATGCGCGCCATGTTGGTGACGCCCTGGTCGTCGTAGCCCAGACACTGCAGCGGACAGCCGCTCTTGATCATTTCGCGCTGCTGGAACTTGTTGTGCTTGAAGGCGTCGTAGGGCGAGGCGCCGAGCATCAGGAACAAGAGGGTGATGGCGAGGGACCAGAGGTCGGATGCGGCCGAGGGTGGAGACGTGCACGTCGAGCTGAGGAGCGTGGGGTCGAGGTAGTCCCAGGTTCCTGCGCCGAGGGGGGAGGCGCTCGTGTCGATGGTTGTGCTGGGGAGCGTGAGGAGGGTCGAGGAGAAGTCCGAGTATATGGGTTTCGGGGGCTGTGGTGAGGAAGAGGAAGAGAAAGAGGAGGAGATGAGGATGTTGGAGGGTTTGATGTCGCCGTGTGTGCAGTGCTTTTCCTGCATCCAGATGAGGCTGTCGATGAGGGAGAGGGCAATGTGTGGGAAGATGCTAGTCAGCTTTGCGGCACGTGAGGGTTCGTCGAGCGTGTTGAGATGCTTTTGGATCCAGCCCTCGAGCGTGTCGTCCATTGCGCGCAGAAGAAGCGAGCCCGTACGAACGTCGAGCCCGTAAAAAGGAACAATGTGGTTCTCTGCATCGGGGAAGCGCGTCAGATAGGATAGGATCCGTGCTTCGGCGCTGAGAACTTTTTTTGCACTGGCCATAGCTGGGACTTTGACTGCATACAGAGTAGGTATGGTGGGCATCTTGGTGAGGCCTGTGCCAGAGTCTGCAGTTCGCACGGGGGTGAGGGGTGGCGTCATTTCAGCACTGCAGGGAGCGTGGTCGGCGGGCTTTGGAGGGCTTGGAGTGGCGAGATAGACATCACTCCATGCGCCCTCGCCAATCCTCTTCCTCCGGCCGCGGTCGTCTTTGCAAATGTCATAGTCGGTCAACTGGTGCGGAAAGGTGATGAGTTCGGTGCTGCCCGGCTGTGGCGCATTGTCAAGTGAATTCAGCCGAGGGCGGCCTCGCGACGATACCGAACTCCCGCGGCGTAGGTTGGACAGGGAGCTCAGGAATTCGGATGAGACGGAGCTGCTCTTTGAATGTGACGAGAGGTTTGGTGTACCGGGAGGAGTGAGGGCACTACTGTCGTGCAATATGCGGGCGTCCTGGGTACCCATGGTTGTAGAACGACGTCTTGTTGGAGATGGCGGTGGCGTGGACAGGGGGCGCGCGACCGGCGATTTTGGCAGTTTCCCAGGAACGGCAAGGTTTTTTCCGTCTCTTGATGCGCCGTCTGTCTGTAGGTGAAGTGATGGTGGTGGTGGCTGTCTCCTTTCTGGAAGGGCCGGTGGCGATGTGAACCTCTCAGACTCATGGCTCTGGGCAGGGGGGGTAAAATGAGCAAGGTCGGCCATTTCGTTTTGGCGGAATCTGTGACTTGACAGCGCTGGGCGAGGGCAGTATCACTATGCGGTTACAGTGTGAGGGTGTGTGTGTCGTGTGGAATTGCTTCTGTCCGACTCCTGAAACACAATGCGGAATAGTAATGCTGTAGACGAGCATCCAATCAAAGAGAGCGAAACAGAGGGCGAATTGTCGAAAACCGAAGAAAGGAAACGTGTCGAGCCGAGCAAGGCCGGCAGGCGATAGGGCTTTATCGTGGGTATGCCCAACCTTGGGTCCGGAATCGGATGAGGCGACCTAACAAAGAAGGCCAGAAAGCAACAAGTGATACAGGAATTGGTACAATAGATAAGAAGGGCGGCTCCACCCATGCGGTTTGGTGCAACCTAGCAGGTAGGAACCGGCATGTTTGACGGTTGCAAGAGGAGGGCGGAAACGGGCGGGCTACGCGCCGCGAAGCAGCCAGGGCGGAGGATTTGTATCAGAGAATCAGACGGGGGGAAAAGGATCGGAGTTTGCCAGCAGTCTATAAGCAGGAAAGGGCTGCGGGGACATGTGGCACACGCATCAGATCCCTACCCTGGGCCAGCGCGCGCAGGCGACGGGGGCGCAATCTTGGGCCAAAAACTGCGTGGAGATGTGATTCGCAGGCCCCGAGCGAGTCTTTGTAGTAGTCGAAGCGGACGGCGGCCATGGTCGCGTCGGCGTGTTGGCGGTAGCGCCGCCAGAAGAGAGCGCGCAATCCATCCTGGGCCCGACTGCATCTCCAATCAGCCATCCATTGTGCAGGAACGTGCGTCGTTTGATTGGGCTACGCAACGTCGGGGTTCGGTGTTGAGAAGGGCCTCGTTGGTTGCTGGGCAAGGAAAATACGCTTTACCTGCCCGGTCTGTCCGGCCGTTGCAATTTTCGTGGGCGGCGCCAAGACGTGTCTGCGAGTCCATCATCTTCGCTCGGTGAAATTCTCATGACATGATCGACAGCGTTGTGGCCGCGTGCCGCCCGGGAGCAAGAGTGCGTGACGTAGTGGTGGATGATGCATATCTCATCGTGGAGCGTCGACGTCGTCGGATTGGTGCACGTGTGGGGGGGAGGAGGAGGAGGAGGAGGAGGAGGAGGAGGTGGAGGTGGTGGTCGACACAGGGCTGCAGCTGCATCTGCATCTGCATCGACTTTGATCGGATGACTAGCCCGGCACCCAGAAATGGTGCGCGCCCACCTCAGACTAGTCGAGTCTAACCAACGTCTGCAGCAACACCAACGTCGACGGTTGAGCATATCAATATGGCGACGACAAGTCGAGGCCAAGTCGTCGCAGCCTGCCTCCACGTATCGAGACCTCCATGGCGGAGCACGCGGGAACGACGCAGCACGCGCCCATCAGCAGTCCATGGGGCAAGCAGCACGCCCTAGCTTCGCCTGTCTTGGCCTGTTCTGTTGGAACAACACCCACCTCGACACGGGCGCGGAGAAAGAATCCTCGTCGCACGCAGTCGTTGTTGTCGTTGTGTTGTACAGATCCGTGATAGCCGCCGTCATGCACAAGAGGTGGGGCCTCTACCAAACTTGCCTGCAGCCGCACTATCAACATCAGCCTCATCGTCATCATCATCATCATCACATGGGCCCACGCCAATCGCCCTTGCATCACAATCTCCAATCGCCCACGTCTATTGCAATCAGTCTTTTGTCTTGTTTGCGTTGCTCTATCTTCTGCACACACACACACACACACACACACACCCCTCTGCTTCTCCGTCCGCGGCAGCTCGTAAGCAGCCCAACATGCCCACCCCCTCACATGCTTGATATCAAAAGATGCAAGGAAAAAGGCGGATCCCATAGATGCGCCCCAGTATTGAACAAAGGAAAGTCTCCCAGATACCCCTACGCAAGGAAATAATAAGAAAGAAAAGAGGAAAAAAAGAAAAGTGCAAAACAAATGCACGAGGAAAGACAACCATTACGTATACACCACACGATGAATATACAGGTAGTATTATCCTCCTCTATGCCACTCGCTCGTGAGCAAAATGATGCTACTCTGCCCCAATTGGTTGCAGAGACGTCGAATCGAAACGCCGTCTTTCATAACTTTGGGTTGGTTTGTAGTCGCCCTGTCGGCACTCGTCCACGCCAAACCCAATTCCATTGATGATTACAGTATATTGGTAGGGATACGCAACATATACACAAAGCACGTACATGGCTCAGAATCGGTTTTGCGGCGGCTGCCGTTGCTGTGGCTGAGCGGCCGAGGAGCGTTTATACGAATCGATAATCTGGCCCACCTGCTCCTCGTGCTCGCTCTGGCGTCAATGCTCATAACCCGCACCCCGTTGCCATGGGCTCGAGCTGTTGGCTTGTCGGAACTGTTGGCCCTGGCTGCCGGGGCGGTATGACGGCGCCGGGCTGCGACGATCGTAAAACGACGGGGGAGCCGATGGGTTGCTTCCGTCGTTGCCGGCGCTGCGGGGTGGTGCAGCGGCATAGTGCTCGCCAAACTGGCCTTCCTTGGCTGCCAGTTGTCGCTGTTCGTCAGAGTAGTATTCTTCGTCATCGTCGATGCGGCTGCGGGATCCCCCCTGCGCGCCCTTGCCCTCGCCACGCGCCGTAGCACCGAGCGCATCCAGCTCCGTCGTCAGCTGCGTTTGCGACTTGATAAACGAGCCACGGTCATCGCGCATGGGCTGGTAGCGCGTGTCGGGGTTCTTGGTGAAGAGCGCAAAGCCAGACGAGACGAGCAGCATGAGCAAGAGGATGAGAGCAAAGGCCGCGTTGATGATGAAGAAGATGACACCCATGACACCGGTAACGATAGGCTAAATAGGCTTGTTAGTCATGAACAAGGTTTGACAAGCATGCACATAACACTTACCGGCTGCTTGAAAATTTCTGTAAACATGAGCAGGAAAAAGGCGCTGAGGAAGTTGACGGCAGCAATGGCAATGTTGAAACCGTTGGTCTTCTTGTCCATCCATGGGCGCAGGACACAGACCGTGACGAGGAGAATCGCCTCGATGATGATGATGGCAAACGCTTGCACCTTGCCGCTGTCCTGGGAGAGACCGACAAACATGGCCTTGATGAGGAGGTAGCCGAGCCATGGGATAATGAACCAGTAGGCGGCAGCCTTGAATTGCACGTAGAGGAAGCCCCACTTGTTGAGCGCCACAGGGTCCGAGTAGAGGATGTAGGCGGGGTTCTTGTGCATGGCAATGGATCGCTGCGCTATGCGCACCACCTTGGAAGAAGCCCAGGTAAGGATACCAATCATGGTGATCATGGAGAGAATGGCCAGCACAATCAAGCCGGCAGAATCACGGCGCGTCAGCTCCCAGAAGCTCAGAACCATCATCTGGGGGAAGCCAATGAGCACCACACGGAAGAGGATACCCTTGAGCACAGTCTGCCAGCCGTTGCGGAAGTCGACAAACGTGTCGCCCTTCATCTTGCCAGCCTTGACCAGGCCCTCGCACATGTACTTGAAAGCAACAACACCAATCACAGTCAAGAGGACAAAGACAATGAAGAAAGTGTAGCCGGTGAAGAAGATGTTGGTCGTCTCGATCCTGGCCTTGAAGCCAACACGCTCAATGCCGTGGAGCACAATGCGCTCTCCGCCAGCCTGGGCCTCGGTAGCGGCCGCGTTACTACGTGCCATGAGGCGGCCGATGGCTCCCGTGGTAAAGTCGATGGCACGCCTCATCCTCATCTTCCTCTGGACCTCGACTGAGATGAAGGACAGCTGCGAGAGGTACGTCGTGGGTGTTCCGCCCGTGGCGCGCTGGTACCAAGTGGCCATGTCCTGGAGGAAGCCGACGCGGATGATGCCCATGGTCCACTGGAAGTTCTGGGTCCAGGCCGAGACAATGGGCGGCATAGGGGCAGAGCACATGCCGATCAGGGCTTGGGCCTGGAAGTATCCGAAGAGCGACATGGCGTTTGCGGCAACGTGGGCAGCCGTGTTGGAGTGGCCCAGGCCAGACGTGATGGCCGACGCCATCAGGCCCAGGCCGGCAATGACGGCCGTCACCCAGGCCACGGCCTTTTGGTCGACCGAGTGGCCGTTGGACAGCTCTGCTTCTACACAGGCCAGCTGCACGTGCGACTCGAGATCCTTGATCTTGACACGCACGACGGCGTCGAGATCAGGAATCGTGTATGCGATGCCTAAGGGGCGGGTGTTAGAGAAGGGTGCTACGAGGCGGCGGCATGGGCAGCGGCGGGCTTACCTGGGATTGCGCTCATGATTTCCTGGCTAATGTCGATGTTGGACTTGATGGTCAGCGGGCCGGCGTTCATGGGGCACATTCCCTCGAGTTCCTTCTGGCCGCAGGGGTCGAGCTTCTGGTTCATGGCCGAGAAGCCATAGACGAGCAGCTCGATGTCGGCCTCGATCTTGCCGGCAATGTTGGAGATTCCCTCGATCTTGAAGCCCAGACTGCGGTTGCTGGGCGTGAATGCGACGTTGAAGAGCGTGGCCGAGAAGGACGAGTTGGCCATGCACGGGTTGAGCGACTTGGACTCGATGATGCGCTCAGCAGAGACGCCGGCGGCGAGGGGGGCGACAGTAGCCGCAAGCCATAGCAGCGACCTGGACAGGGAGAGCTTCATGGCATGCGGTGGGCGTGGGCGTGGTCGAGGTCGTGGTGTTGGGCAAAGAAGAGCAGCGAGGCGCAGGGGAGCCTCAGGCGCTGGAGTACTCCTGACGAGTACCGGGGAAGATGGGGTCGGCCAGACCAGCGGCGAGAGAACAGACTCCCTTGAGCGAACGAGCGGGCGTCGGGGCCCAGGATGCGAAGAGAAGAGACGGGTGTGTTTGGAGTTGGGGTTGCGTGTGTGGAAGCGAGCGGCTGTCGGGGGGGGGGGGTGCGACAAAATGGGGTGGTTGTGGTGATGTCGAGACTGGAGGTTGCGCTGGGCGGCTGGGAGGGAAACCGGGAATCAGCGAGGCGGCGGCGGCGTCGGCGGGTCTTGGGCTGGGGGGGGGGGGAGGGAGGGGGGGGAGAAGGGTATAGGCGGGAGGCAGGAGAAGAGGCTAGGCAGGCAGCATACAGCAGGCGGCAGAACGACAACAAGTAAACGATCGGACAGGCAGCGATCAGCGGAGGGTTTCCACTTGCACGCAGGCCCAGGAGGGGGATATTTTTTTTGGAGGGCGTGGGCTGCAACGGACGGAGGGTGTTTTGAGAGTGCCTGAGCAGAGTGAGAGACGGGGGCGCTGGGCTGAGGGATCCCGGCGGCAGGAGGGCGCGTGGCCCATGCACACGGGTCTTGCTCGTTTTCGTTCAGGGGAGCGAGACATGCGGTGCACATACGCGCGGCTCGGGAGCTGCCCAGCCTCGCCCTCTTGGTCTCTCTCTCTCTTACACTGGCTCGCCCAGCCTCTCTCAGCCATATACTTACACACACACGTCTATATGGACGCTCCACACGCGCGCAGTCCTGTCACCGCGCAGTCCTGTCACCGCGCAGTCCTGTCACCGCGCAGCCACTAAGTCAGCCCACGGCGCAGGGCGGCGGCCGCTTAGTCACCGCAGGCGGTGGGCGCAACACACGATGCGGGGCCCACGGACGACACACTGCTGCGAACGCCTCGCACGCAGCTTGCAACGGGCGGTGGGCTAAAAACAGACGGCAGCAATTTCTCGCGCTGGTGCCGTGCTTGTGCTGCGCGCTCGAGCGTCTGGAACAGGCCGGATGAGTGGCGGGCAGGGGGCGTCATGGCAGAGGTGCTTCGCCACACTGGCACGCAGGAACCAATTTCGCGCGGCCAATTAATGCGAGGCGCTGCACGCCGCCGGGGCCGGCTGACCGAGGTGGAGGCGGCCGTCGCACGCGTGTGCAGCCTGTGTCGTATGTGTTGCTGTCGACGCTGGGGCAAGAGACGTGGCGGCGTCGTGGAACATGTCAAGATTATGCCATGCGGCACTCTGCGGCACGACAAGTCTGGGCAGTGACCCCATCCGTGCATTTGCGCCCGCCGCTCTGCTCTACCACTACCACTACTGTACACTACACGTAGGTGTACATGTCGTCGACATGCCTCGATAGCTGGTGCTACCCCCGCCCGCCGCTTGATTCGTGGCAGCGTCATCCTCACCACCACGACCAGCCCGTCAGCCAATGCGCCTGCGCCTGCGCTCCCAGTGCCCGTCCAAGTCCTAGTCGCAGTGGCAGTCCGGCGCCGACAGCCATCATGACATGCACCACGTCCACAACCACCTTCTACGCGCGTTCACTGCCCTGCGAACGTATACTCGTCGAGGCATTGCGGCAATCTGAAACGCGGGATCAGCATGCCCGCAAATCTCCCACCCAGCCGTTTGCCCATGTACACCTATCGCCGTGCTGCGCTGTGCTGTGGCGGCCTCGTCCACCTACACCACACCCACACGCACACGCTGCGCCTGCACCGACCCTGAAGATCGCCATCTTTCCTTTGTTTGCCAGCTGCCCGGTGGCCCGCCTGCCCCACCCGCCGCCTGTACGAACACGAACGCGTAACCCTCTGCAACTCAGGCACCAAACCCGCATAACCCTCACGCCCATCTGCCATGCCGCAATGTTTGTCTTTGTTAGCTGCACCTCGCAAGACATGCCCGCCCTATAGTACTCACCACTGCCACGGCCACGGCCACTGCGCCATTTTCCCCAGCGACAGCTCCCTCATGTCCGCGCCCGTGTCGCCAGCCAAGACCGTATACCATGCCGGATCCAACGGCATGCCCCGTCGTATACCCAGCCTATTCTCAGCCTATTCTCAGCCTTGGCTTCGTGTCTCCGCGCGTCTCCCTCACTCGTTTGCCCCGGCCGCTTGTTCCTTTTCGTGGCCTGCTTTTATTGCTTTCTAGCCTGCTTTTGGTCGATACGAGCCGGTACATCTACTTGGCCGCCTTGCCTGATTCGGCCGCTCTAGCACACATCATCATGCTGACTTCTGCTCCACCCGGGGTAGCTCATTTCATGCTTCAATCGCTCACAACACTGGTCATTTGCAGTGCTGACATTTGCAGTCCTGATATTTACTCCTGATATTTACTGCTGATATTTACTGCTGATATTTGCAGTCCTAACAATTGCAGACCATCTGCTCACAGCATCTCAACACCATGTCCCTCGTCGGTTGCTCTTTCCTCACTGGCGAGCGGTGGCTTGTGAGCGTTTGCTCTCGAGGAAGGCGCTCCAGGCACCTGCATTCACCTCACCTCTCTCTGCTTGACAAGCAAACAATCCAAAGATGCTTTCCATGACCTGCCTCTCACTGCCTTTCTCGTTAATCCCGACTCTTCAATATTCGTGACAATCGCTTGCTGCAGCGCTTCCTCCATACCCACGATGCAGCACACCACGCCTACAGAGCCTCTTTCCAAGCTAACCAATGACGAACAAGCTCACCTCTCTGCCCTGCTCAAGGCCAAGCTACAAGCCATTCCGCCCTTCCACATCCCCTCTTACACTCTCTGACATTGTCCGCCAAACAGCCCAAGCATCCACCATCCGCAACATACCACCTGACATTCAACTCGCCTTCTTCCTCGGCCACCGCGATGCCATTAACCGATTTGGCGACAGGCCGGTCAAAGACGAGGCCAGTCAGAGTTTGAACATGACGCGCGTGATTTGGTTCTGGAGACTGGACGAGGCGAGACAGTTTCAGCGCTTCCATGATACCATGAGGTGGAATACGGCAATGTTTGTTGCACTGCTGACGCTCTGCGAGGTTCAGAGCCGCTCGAGCTACCCACTGGGTGGAGAGATGAATATGGATGATCAAGTCAAAACGGGTCGCCATGACACACCGACACTTCGAGATCCATCTGCACATGTCCCAACTACAGCTCGCCATGACACACAGACACCTCGACATCCATCTGCACAGATTCCTGCTGCAGCCCGCCGCTTCATGACTAAATACCTTGCTGCCGTCCTTGAACACCACAATACCCCTCTGCTCTTCACCGCCCGCGAATCCTTTATCAACACGTGGAAGAACAGTGCCTGGGACGTGTATACAGTGTTCCGCGGCGCGCAGAAGAAGCTGCTAAAGAATCTCATGAAGAGGCTGAACAAGGACTGGGAGGACGAACTTGACTTTGCCGAGAAGTCTATGAGTGCGGAAGAGTTCCAGAAAAGAGTGGGCAAGTTTGTGGGAAGTCTGGTTTCGCGGCAGAGGGAACAGGGTGTGTCTGTTGCATTATCGGGCAAAGTACGAGGCAAAAAGGAAAGTGGGAATACGCACATGTCTAATACTCGACGGCGCGTGTCCTACGAGGTTCGACATGAGACCAATGAGCTGCTTGCTGCTCTTCGTGTTCCCTTCACCCCACAGCCCAAGGACAAGAGCTACCAAGTAGGCGAAGACGTCAAGGAGGTTGCGGATCTGAGAACTGCCATTAACGCGGTGCAGACTATGCGTCCACGCGACATGCTGCCAGTACTTTTGCGTTTGTTTCCTGCGGCATCAGAGTGAGTGGCTAGATTTCACCTTGAGCTCTGAAAGTGTATGATAGGGAAAGTGTGGGGAAAACACCTCGCGAAGCCCGAATCTCCAGCATGGATGGGCATCATTACAGACTTAATACAAGCAAGCGGCATGACAAGCTGCATTGGGTACTCAACTCTCAGCTGAAGCAGCAATCCATCAGCTCCAACCTAGTCGTCCCAACGCTACCACTACCGTGCTACAAGCCAATCATGCACGTCAGCAAAAAGCGATTCAGCACCTCGCATACTAATCCTACTACCATCCATTTGTCACGTCCGCAAGCCCCCATCCCCCAAATTTTATTTCCCTTATCCACGCATTCAACACGTCAAAAAAAAAGGTTGCGGCGCATGCACGTGCGTCCCCGCAGTAGATGACATATCGCGCGTTGAGCCGTCGTCAGCATTGCGCCTACACTGGCACTGGCACCACGCTTTTCTTCCTCGGCATAAGTGCAAGTGCAACTAATCATTTGCGCCTCCCCCCCCAAACACTATGGCTATTTGCAGTCATAACGGTGACGGGGCGTTGGGGGCGTGTCGCTTAGTCCACGCGGGGGGTCTGGAACCTCGGGGGATGAGTAAACCACCACATGAATAATACAGACTACGAGATTAGGTGTACTGGACTACTGGACGAAGCGGGAAAATCCACCATGTGGTGTAACCACAGTCATCTCTGCACAGCATCACTAATGCCATTTACATTTGTACATGTACGTCTATTCCATACTCGCTAGCACTAGCACTAGCACCAGTGTAAATGAGAATGTAAACAAGAAGAATTACTTACCCAAAGGGAGTTAGTAGCTGATAATTATAATACTGATGGATGTGCATGCATGGATGAATGAATGGATACATGATCCACCCAATCAACACTAATAACAAAGATATGAAAGAAAAAAAGCGAAAAAGCGAAATAGAGAAAAAGGCAAAAAATAAATAAAAAGAAAATTACCGCTTTCATGCAATCCTCCCCCCAAAGACTCCAAGTATTGCCCTTGCCATTGGCACATTACAAGATACGGGGCGCGTGGCGAAAAAAAAGAAAAAGAAGAAAAAGGCAGAAAAAAAACTTCCGCTGATGGCGATGGGCCGTTGTGTTTTAATGTACTGTAAGTACGTAGGTTTGTGGCATGTGTTTGCATACTGTTGGGTGGGTCTACACCTAACCTATCTCCTCCGTCTGTCATGTCTGTCGGTGCCAGTAAATACCGAGAGCAACACATCGTTGTCGTCACAGGTTTTTTTTTTTATACTTGGAGGAGGCTGGGTTATTACGTCATTGGGAATGTACGTAGGAGACCAAGACGGAGAGATTACAGATTATGTAGAGCTAGAAGCTAGAAGCTAGCATGACAGGCCGTTTGTGGATTGGGTCTTTGCCTGTTTTGGGGGTCGGATGGGGGGCGCGCGTGGCCGAGATCTGCCGAGTAGAGTGGTTTTGGGGTTTGTCGTCACTGTCACTGCGATGTGATGTGATGCGATGTGATGTAGTTCCATCTACTTGTTGCGGTTTTGGTGCTAGTTGATTGCGTGTTTTCTTCTTCTTCTTCTTCTTCTTTACAGAGATAGATTGAATTTTGCTCTTTTGTACAGAATGAATACATGTGTAAATTGAGGTTGGTGTACAACATCTCCGCCTGCTTCTGTTCCATCCATGCACAAACTGGAATTGTAAAGTAAGAAAAAAAATTAATGGAAAAAACGCAACTAAGAAAGTCACATTCACAATCATGGCAAAACAGCTTTTTTTTAGTCCATGTATATATATGACCTAAGTTAATACCAAGTTTTTTTCTCTTCTCTTTCTAGCCTTTTCGTTTTCTCCGCCACTTTTCCGCCCTACTTATCGGCGGCATATGCTTAATTAGGTAAAAAAAAAATTTTGTTTGAATGGCTTACACCTCCTGTATTACATACACAACACACACACACACACACATACATAGTACATGCTGCGGACTTAACTCACTACAACTAATCTTTTGCGCCAAACTCCGCAGAAGCCTCAACTACGGGCTGAGAAATACATGTGCAACTAGCCAACTTGCCGCGTTTCTTCTCGGCCGTCGGCCGATGCATGAAACAAACCATGTACACACACGCACACACACACATGGTGGACTGTACTATTACTATCGGCCGTTCGATTAGTCTCACGCTACTGTAAGAAACGTCGGTGTGGCGGTTTACCTTAGTCCCCTTTTCTGTCTACCTAGGCCCCGAGGTCCGAAAAATAGAACGGGGATCCTGCGTGGTATTAGCAATTCGCGACGTCATTACCTCCGAGGCAAGGGGGAAAAAACATGATAGGCCGGGGTTTTTCTTGCCATGTGCATGTGAGAGACGGGAAAGTAGTAAGGAAGTGGTAAGTGTGTGAGAAGAGAGAGAGGGAGAGATTAGAAATGTGGGATTCTGGACGATGTGTATAAGAAGAGAGGGTGTTTGCCCCCCTCTTCCCGTTTCTTGCTATTTGCATACAAGACTTTTCGACTTGACTTGACTTGGCTTTGAGTGTTTCACGACTAGATTTTTACTAGGAAAAGGACGAAACTAAATTTTATTTTATTCTATTTTTTCGGCTCGACTTGCTGGCTGTATATATTTCTCCCAAAGGATACCCCCGGAACAAACTTGGGTTCATTACAAACAAACAACACACGACTCTTGTCAAACAACACCAATAAGATGCCTACATTCACGGTATTCAAGGGCTCCAAGGGCGGCAAGATTGTCAAGGCGCAAACGACCAAGCCCGATGTCCAAGACGACCAAGTCCTCATCAAGGTGACGGCATCAGGTCTCTGCGGCACCGACGAGCACTACAAGGAAGTCGACATGGCGCTGGGCCACGAAGGCGTGGGCGTAGTCGAGCAGCTGGGCCCCAACGTCAAGCAGCTGAAGAAGGGCGACCGCGTGGGCTGGGGCTACGAGCACAACTCGTGCGGGCGCTGTGAAAAGTGCCTGACTGGACGCGAGACGTACTGTGCTGAGCGCGAAATGTACGGCTACGCAAACCTGGACCAGGGCAGCTTTGCCTCGCACGCCGTCTGGCGCGAGGCCTTCCTCTTCAAGCTGCCCGACGAGCTGACCGACGCCGAGGCCGCGCCGCTCATGTGCGGCGGCGCAACCGTCTTCAACGCACTGCACGCATACAACGTGCGCCCGACGCAGCGCGTAGGCGTCATGGGCGTCGGCGGCCTGGGCCACCTGGCCATCCAGTACGCGGCGAAAATGGGCTGCGACGTGGCCGTCTTCTCGGGGTCCGACTCGAAAAAAGCAGAAGCGCTCAAACTCGGAGCCAAGGAATTCGTCGCCATCAAGGGCAAAGACCACATCGACGTGTCGCGCAAAATCGACGTGCTCCTCGTCACCACGTCGGTGTCGCCAGACTGGAAACTCATGATGCCCGTGCTCAACCCCAACGCCATCATCTTCCCGCTGACCGTGGCCGGCGGCGACTTTGTCTTCCCGCACATGGGCCTGCTGGGCAACGGCATCACCATCCAGGGCAGCGTCGTGGCCGCCCGCCAGGTGCATCGCGACATGCTTGCCTTTTCCGCCCTGCACGGCATCAAGCCCATCAACATGGAGTTTCCGCTGACGGAGCAGGGCATCGAGGATGCCATGGCCACGCTGCGTGATGGTAACATGCGGTATAGGGGTGTGTTGAAGCCTCAGGAGTAAGAAATAATAATAATCATCATCCGACAAACGTGGTCAGCAAAATGGGGCATGACATACGATTATTCATTTTTCTATGTTTTATAGACATGGGGGGAGTGGGGTTGGTTAGGGGAAGGATAGAGACGCACGAATTGACGAATTTCATTTGTAGATAATCAAGCCGCTATGCAAAGTGTAAGCTGATTGCATGCATGCATGCGTGTGTGTGAGTGTGCGTGTATGTGTGAAGTTGAGTTATCATGTATACTAATCGCCGCAAGCCACACACCACCAACTTCGAGTTTTCTGGAAACCGCTAGGAAAGCACGCTATCTAGGAGAACCAACCACGAGGAATCGACTAACAGCACTTTTAACACCTGCAGCTAAGGCGCTAGCGCGTAGTAGGAAGAAGAAGGAGGCCTTCCTTTGTTTTTTTACGCTTGTAAGAATTTTCTTATAGAGCTTAGGCTCTAATGCTAAGACTAGAGGGGCTAATAAGAACGTAGGAGCTTATTAAAGCTTAAATTTAGCAAGAAATATAGATATATTAAAATAATAAAAATAATAAAAAAAGACTAGCCTTAAAGGACCTTAGAGGCACAAGTAAACAACTAATAGATAATAATCTAGAAATTGAGATGGCTAAGGAGGCTTCTACGCCTTGCCCTAATAGGCAACTAGAAGAACCACCTAGGCCTACCTATACTAGGACAAGAAGCAATTTTTCTCTATTTATTAGAGCAGTGCTAAGATACTCTATAGTAGGGAAAACACCAAAGGCAACCTCTATTAAGGAGGCCTTAGAGATTGCTAGAAACCTAGTAATCTAAGTAGCTAACCTAGCTAAAAACAACCCTACTAGGCAAACTAGTTTACTAGACCTTGTAGAAGTCTTTAGAGACTTTACAGAGAATAGCAGAGTAAATAAGAAAAACTCTATAATTCTAAGAGACTAAATCTCCTCTCTATCTAACGTCTCTAAAGAACTAAGAGAGAAAGTTAGACGCCTTAAAAAACTAAATACCCCGCCCACCTAACCTTAAGCTTAGCCCCCTAGCTCCTACGCAATAGTAGTAGCTAGTAACTAAGAACAACCTTAGACATATATCCAAAAAAAACAAAACTAAAAATATATAGAAAGAAACACCTAAAAAGACAACTAAAAAAAGACAACTAGCCTATTAGAGCGCTAAATTATTCTAGTTAGCAATATACCTACTATATTCGACGCTCTAAAAATTAGAAACGCCTTTAACAAAGCCTTTACAACAAAGGGAGGAGTACAATCCCTAGTAGTAGCCTTAGTAACACCTTTAGCAAAAGGCAATAAAATAGTTACTACCACCCTAACCTTTTTAGCAAAATACCTTCTAGAAAACCAAGAGATCTAGAAGGATATCACAGAGTTTAAAGCAGCCTAACCAATCACCTCTTAGTTCAAAGTAGTTATCTATAAACTACTAACAAACTATAGCCTAGAGGTCCTAAAGGAGGAAATTAAAATCTTCAATAAAGGCCTAAAGGTAGTAGGCAACCCCTTCTAGCTAACACTAGAATCTAGAAGAGGAAACCAAAACTTTAGATCCGCCTGCGTAGCTTTTGCTATAGAACAAGAAGCCTAAAGAGCTATTAGAGGAAAGCTCTATATTCTAGGGCAGAGCCTTAGAGCAGAGAAACTAAGAGTTATTAATAACTCTAAACAGTGCTCTAAATGCCAAGTGTAAGAGGCTACGCCTAAAGTGTGTGTGTGATCGAGTATATCTATACGACTACCTAGACTTCAAGAAGCTTGAAGTCTTGTTACTGCCTTTTTGGCAATGGATGGCGTAAGTAGTCGTACGCTCGGCCCGTTGGGCCCGCCCATTACACCAAGGTTTTGGGCACCTAGAGGCTAAATGCTCCAAAGTAGCCTGCCAAATCTACAGCGAAGCCCACCACACTAGCCTCTACAAGTGTAATTCTTATTTAAGTAGAGGCAAGCCTTACGTTCACACTATCTTTAAGTGTGTAAATTATAGCAAGCCCTACGTAGCTAATAGCTAAAACTGCGAAATCCTATAAGCTAGGACATCTAGAACTACTACCTCTTCTAACCTAGAATGTTAAAAGTCCTACAAATAAATATTAATAGAAGTAGCCCTGCTATAGAGAGCGCTCTAAATCTAGCTATTTAAGTAAACGCTAAGATTATCGCTATACAGGAACCCTGGCTACTAAAGGGACATACCTACGAGAATACTAGATCAATCGCCCACTAAGACTTTACTCAAATACTCCCTACTTATAAGGGGTTAAGGCTAAGAACGCTCTTCTATATTAGAAAAGACCTAGATGTAGAGGTTAACCTATATATTAGCAACAACAACAATTTACAAGCTATTACAATACTCTCCTCTTTAACTAAGATCTATATATATAACATTTATAACAAAAAAAGCCTAAAAGAAGGGCTTAATAAGACAACAATCTAAAGGCGCCTACTTAAAGAGACTCTAGAACCCTCCTTAATTATACTAGGGGACTTTAACACCTACCACCCTAGATAGAGCCTACAGGATAAAAACCTAAACCAAGAAGCAGAGGATCTAGTAGAGTGGGTAGACAAGTAAAACCTTTCTCTACTAAATACTCTAGAGACTGGCACCTTTTTTCAAGTAAATATGCGGCAAGAAAGCGTACTATGTAACGGCGCAGGTAAGGCAGGTCGGATCTGTTTCGGTCGTAGGATCACTCAGAGGCATATGGGAGTGCGTGGGATCACAAAGAGCCTAGATTCAACAAGCCACCTATAGGCCTTGTACGAAAGGATATCAAAAGTCTACAGAGCTAGCTACAGGGAGTGTCTCAATATATACCTATCCTAGTCGGGTCCGAATTCGGATCCGACCTCGGGCGAATGGCTGATGAAGGGCGGCAGGTACTTCCTCCGATCCGGCTCTGGGATTGGCTCAATACTTGGCGAAGTTGTAACATCGTTACATACTAGATCTTACGTTTGCAACTAATAATATAGCTGCCAAAATCTAGGACTAGCAAACTATACTAGGAGTTGGATCAGACCACCACGCAATCCTTTTTAGTATTGAAAGCCTAGGCCAGCTACCTAGCTAGCTAAAGAGATTTAATATTAAAAAGACTAACTAGGACATCTTTAATAGTACACTTAATAAAGAAGTTACTAACTAACAGCTAAAGGCATAACTACTAGACCTACCCTACGCCTCTAGCTATTTATTAAGAAAGATCCTATTGTTATGGGCGAGAGAGGCCTAACTAACAAGTATGCATTCACCTATTGTACAGAAGAAGAAAGATATAGAAAAGAACTATCTAGAGGGCCCTCCTTTTATAGTTGTTACTCGTACAAACACTGAGACCTTTAGTCTTCCTCCTTACTTAAGCTTATTTATACATAGCTAACTATGTTATTTAGTCACGTGACTAAAGTTATGTGATTTACTACTATGTAACCTGTAGGTTATACCTCTCTAGCGTAGCCCTTTACAATACTCCCCTCCTTCGCCTTGTCCAATATCACGTGCGTATTCTTTAGTCTTCTTTTCCTTTCTCTTTGTCTATTTGCTATTACATGTTTGGCGTCTCGTACGGTTAAGGTAAAGGCAAATAGTAAAGGTAAGAGAGAGTTAGGCAATAGTGCTATATAGCAAACGCTGTCTAGTAAGCATAAATACTCTTCTTCCCCTACCTACTGCTTGTTTCCTCTATCTCTTTAGCTTTAACTTTTCTCTTATTATAGTCACTTCCTTAAGTCTTCTTATATAATAGCCAATTATGCGATGTAGGCTAACAGCTAGGTTAACGCCTTACGTTTCTACACAAATAGTGGAGTTAATAACACTATTAAGTAGGCAACTACTTAGATCTTTAACATTGCTTATTAGTTGCTTACTCGTACAACGCTAGGTGCCATCTAGGCCACAGCGCCTGTTATTGTTAGACGGGTTAACCTTAACAACTACTAGGTCTAGTATATTTTTAACGTGCGGGTTGCTAAAGAGATTTGCTAAGTGTTTGCTACTACGCTTATAAGTGTCGCTTCCTTATTATACGTCTAAATTAGCTAACTAGTGTAGCCTAAGCTTCGCTAGGTCTTTAACATATTCTACTATCCAAGGGGGATATCGCCCTGCGATGCTACCTTTAGTCCTAGCCTTAGCGGTTATTCGCCTATTGTCGCCTGTACGACGCTCTATGCCCGTTAAATCTTAGGTGGCCAACCCTTATACCTTAAGGCCTTCCTCGTCTATTCGCGTAGCGCCTTTAATGCTATATTTTGCAATAACTATACGCTAGTTTTAGACAAGGCAAAGGAGTTTACGGCCTTTGCTAGTTATGTCTCTATCTATAGAGAGTGGGGGGGTGCGTGTAGCAATTACATCTAGCAGGACTATAGCGCCTGTTGTTTAGCAGGAGGAGGGGACAGTTTGTCCGTCCGTACGCCAGCTAAGCGTCGTCTTCTAGGCACCAAGAGGGATCGTTCAGCCTCTAGGGGTAGCGCCAAGTCTCTATTGCTTATTAAGTAGCTTTCGCCTCTAGCTATTTTATAGCTGGCCGTTAGGTTTTTATATAGAGGAAGTTTAGGCGAGCCATTCGTCTAGGGCCTTCGTGTCTTTAAGTGCTATAGCTAGTTCCTAACTTCCCTCTAGGTAGCCTATCCAAATAATGAGATATTGCAGTTCTCTGTTTCGCATTCGTTCGTGCTAAAATTAAAAGACGCTATTAAGATAGACGTTGTCTCTGCTATAGTAGACGAGGACACTATTACAAAGACTGCAACGCTCCTCTTACTACTTATATGCATAAATAAGGAAACTATACTAAGGTAGCTACTATAGCACCTATAGAGGATAACTTAGACGAGGGAAAAGAAGAGCTCTAACTAAAAAGCGCTAGTTAGAGTGTAAGGGGCTGCGCTCCGGGGAGCAATCGCGAGGTATACAAGAGGTTGTATTCGATAGAGAGCTATAGAGTCTACTTGCGTGGTGTTTATTTACTTGTCGGAGAAAGGTTGCACCGAGTGTCTGAGCGCGTCGTCTGGGCGCCGCTCAGGCCTCGCACAGATGCCGGGTTGCAGAGTAAGACCTGGCGTCTGCTGCTTGACCGAGATTCCATCGAGGAGCTATCCAAAGGGCGTTCAGCCCGTTACAGCTATTATAATAAATAGACGA